CTGTTTGGATGTGTGCTTCGCAGTGTCGAACTTTATTGTAATGACCTTTTCTAGATACATTTGGTGTAGTCGTGTCCTCTCAGATTTGAAGCGGACTGCACAGTTTGTGTGCGACATCGGACTGACTGTCTAGCTGCTGTCATCGAGAACGAGGAAGAAGAAGAAGAAAGATGAAGTGAAGTCCCCAACACGTTGAGTTCGTTTATACCCACAAAATGTACACTTCGTTGTATTGTCGTTTTTTTAAATTTGGAGCGTACTTTTTATAGAGCAATGTCTTTGGAGCACAGAGTTCAAGATCATTCATAATTTTAATGCAATAAGGAGGAAAAGATGTTATACAAGTCTTCAGCCGCCTCTATGCTAATATATTTTCCAGTTTATAGAACTGAGATCTTGCTAGTTACTTTTAAAAGAGGCGACTAACTCGATCAATGCAAAGAACACGCCAAGCTTGCATCATTGCAAGAGGCGACAATACACACACCTGACGTGAGAATTTGAAATCAGTTTGTGCTTAACATTGCACCAACATACGTGACATCAAACAAAAGGTAATACACTTGTTGACAAGCTTTGGAATATGTGTATGTGTCAATTTTTGTTTTTACATTGCTCATGAAAAAACACAATACATGATTCTCTTCAAGTGGAACGTTTCTATTGCCGCTGTGTATGTTAGTTTTACTTTTTTGTAGCACGGGTTCAAAATATAAGACGAAGGCCACCTTTCCCAATTACTACACCTATTCCTCATCTTTCCTTACCACCAAAAAGTAAGGTAAATAGATCAAAGGCATTTTTTTTGGTTACGAACAGGCTTACTTAGATAAACCAGGGCAGAAAATACAGGAGGTCTAGAGGTTATGGTGTTGACCTCTCATTCAATAGGTCGCGGGTTCGAAACCTGACAATGACGAACATTTTCTTCTCTAAAATCATCTCCTTTGGCTTCCTGTCCAGCTCTCTAACCTTGATCTGTCGTCTGCTTTCGTCCCTACCTTCTGCGCCCCACCCCCTTTGTCCCCTCCTCTGGGCCCCTGCCTCTTTCTGCAGCCTTTCTACTCAGCTTTTCTACCGATACTCCTTGGCTCCACCTTAATGCTGTCTTTCAGCCACACACCTAATCTTACGACAAGTAAGATTTAACACCTAGCCCTCTCGGACAAGGCCAAAAAATCTAGGTCCCGTGTGCAAGTTGCGTACCTTTAAGATCCCTTGGTGGTCCTAAAATCAATAAGAGTAGACTTCGGCCGCTACCTAGGGAAAGTTTAAAATTAATTCTTACCAAATTGAAAAATGTGCAATGTGTCCCGCGGTCATATGACTTTATGCAGTTGTGAGCGCCGAAAAAACACTAACAAAGACAAAAAGCAGTTACCAGATAAACCCCGATCACTGTCGAGATTTCTAGAATATATCGTCGGTGCCTCAATCCACTTTTGCACCAGAAACAATTGTTGTGTTGTTCATATCAGGAATCTTAAAAAGGAAGAGCATTGTAAGCCTTGTCAGTGAAAGGTGACCTTTGATAGAGCTTTGGGAAAATTCTCAAAATTTGGAAAGTGGACTGTTTGCGACAGCGACGGTATTCACCATTCTGGCAACGTACATCCGCTTTGATACATCCACTTTGATAACGACAATGGCGTTTCCAATGATGACAACGAGAATGACAGTTTTGCAAAGTGAGACCTTGGATAGACTCTCAACACAATAAAACAAAAAAAACAACAACCAAAAAACCCTTTAAAAACAAACAAACCCACAAGAAGAACCCATTTTAGATCCAAATCAAAGTGTTGCTTGGGTAATGATTGCTTTCAAGGGCAGTTTAAATATGAAACAATATAATAATGTCTGCATAGTTTGACTTTGCAGACAATTTCTTCTCAAATATGAAGCTCACCGTCAAACTCATCGCAAAATCAATCTGGTTTATGAAAGAAAATAAACTAAGTTATCTGAAATCCGAAAAAAAGAAAAAAGAAAAGGTGGTAGATATGAACAGTGGCACTTCTTTTGTTAGAGGGACAGAAAAGGGACGTTAGGTCAACCGTTACGACAAAGACCGACAAGAAACTGTTGACTTGCCCTGCCAAACTGAGATTCAATAACAAATGGAATGGGAGGCGTTGACCTCGTAATCTGTTCGAAGTCTCTGTACAGGTTCCCTCTGAAGTCAAGCAAGCGGTACACGAGTACATTTTTTATCACAGCTGTCTGTCGCCACTGTCTTACTAAAATACTAAAGGCACTGCATACTCAAAACATGAAATTGTCTGAATTTTATCAGATCACCCAGTGTCTCATTCAATTTTTGCAATATTCCAGGAAGACTATTAACCATAAAATATATGAGCATCCCAACAACACCAAGAAAAATAGCTGCAGGAAAACTAGAATTTAAAATTGTTTTTAAAACAAGGAACATGAATAAACATTACGACACCACAAAACATCACAGAGTTCAGTACTTTTAATCTTTACTGTTATCCGCCGCGTATACCCTTTTGGGTGTCGCGTGAAGAAAAAAGACTTCTCTCTACCACCAGCCGGAGAGCTTGGGTCAGGGGGATGCCGTGAGTTGTTAATGTTTCCCTAACTCCATCTGTCTAGGTATTTCTCGGTCGCCCTCTAACCTTGTTGCTATCGAATTTTGTGTGTGTAGGCACGTTGTGCTGGGTTGTGTATTGGTAATTGCATGAGATGTCTGAACCATTTGATTCTTTGTTGTTGGATGACATCATTTGTGCCTGCCATTTCTCTGAAGACTGTGTTTTTGATTTTGTCTCGCCTGGTCTTGTTTACTGCTTTTCTAAGGCATCGCATTTCACATGTTGTAATTCTTTGCTCTACTGTCCAGTTCGTGGTCCATGTTTGGCATCGATAGGTGAGTGTTGGGATGAATATAGGGTGTTGATCATTTTGAGTTTTGTTGTCATGGGGATGTTAGGATGTTTGAGTAGTGGAGTAAGCTGGTAACTAACATTACTGGCCTTTTGTACTCGTGTTTCAATTTCTCTGTTCAGTCGCCCATCCTCTGTGAATATACCTCCGAGATACTTAAATTCTTGGACCTGTCGGAGACTGTTGTTGCTGATGTGTATCCTGAGAGGTCCTGGCTTTCTGCTTACTTTCGTTGTATCTCTTTTGTTGATGTTGATCTTCATGTCATAGTTGTTACATTCTCCGTTTAATCGGGTGGTGTGGTGTTAGAGACTTTGTTCATCTTTGTGTGTCAGACTTTGGTCATCAGTGAAGAGTAATTCATTTAGGGCGTCTGGTTCTGTGTTAGCCTCTTTTGTAACTCTATCCATATATATGATAAATAGTAGTGGTGATAGGACGCAACATTTTCTGAGAGTCCCTCCGACGTTTTTACTGCACTTATGCTGTTATCTAGAAGTTCATCTCTTACAGTGTAGTTTTCGAGTTCTTTCCACAGCTTGTTTCTGTTGACTCTGTCGAACGCTTTCTCCTGGTCGACAAATACTATGTTTAGTTCCCTGTATTGTTCTATTACCCGTTCGCGCATTTGTCGTAGGGCAAATATTGCGTAGGTGCCAACTCTTCCCTTTCTAAATCCCATTTGGGCCTCACTCAGAAATGGTTCAACTTTGTGTCTTGGTCGCCATTCCAATATCTTGGCGAAAATTTTGCCCACATGACTTAGCAGTAAAATTTCTCTATACATTCCACAATCTCTCTTGCTGCCTTTCTTCTTCCTGATTGGTTTCTATGACCGCTCTTTGCCAGTCGCCCGGAACTTTTTTTTCTGTCCATGCTCGAAGATTTTTGTGAACCAAGTTATTCCAGTTTCACCACATGCTAGGATGGTCTCCACGGTAAGCTCATCTATTCCAGCGCTTCTATTTTTTGGTCTGGTTTTAACTGCTTGTCTGACCTGTGATGGTAGGATGGCTGGTTCTTCTTTCTCTGGGTGACTTGGTTGGAATTCTTTGGTTGTTTGCTTTTGGGTGGTATACAAAAGTTCTGAGAAATATTCCCTCCATCTATATTTGATTTTGGAGCTATCGATGATGGGGTTTCCTGTGTTGTCGTTAATTATAACTGTTGGGTCGTACTCCTCTTCTTTGAGCCTCATTGACTTAACACTTCTGTAAAAGTCACGTGGTGATTTTATGGCACTGTTCGCTTAGATATTCTCCACATTTTGGCCAATATTCATTTTTTGCTGTTCCTTCTTGCTTGTCTGTATTGCATGTAGTAATATAGTAAGACTTTTAATACCTAACAAAATGTAAGATTCTTTCGTGGACGTGAGGTTCTGTTACATCTTATTCTCGTTCACTGAAACCAAAAGGAAATATAACTCATGGACAACTTTTTAAGGCTAATGGTATGTCATATTCATTTTTCTCATCCAAAAGTTGCGACCACAAATTACTACATGTCAGTTGATTTTTATATTCTGTCTATGGTTTAATCAATATCTCAAGAACCGTTTTCTTTGCAATTAGCTGAAGTTCCTTAGTATTATTGTCACTGATGTCTTGCTTCCACTGTGCACAGTATATGTTCTAGTGATATGTAACAGTTCCTCCTTACTTTTTAATCTTATCCCATCATAAATACACCCAAATTCATCCATCTGAACTCTGTATAGCCAAGCAACACAGATTCTAATACAATTCTTTTATGATAAAATTCTAAATCTATTATTGTATTGTCTCGTATTGCTGTAGTTTAAACGATTTCCCAAACCGATCTCCATTAATTGTTTTAAATGGACGACCTGCTTGCTGTGTTGTATATACGTTTTTTTAAAAATGACATTGCTCATCGTCTCCTTAATAAACCCTTTAATAATATAGTATCTCAATCCAAATCCAAAGAATTGTAAAACAGGACGAGCAAGACTGCTTAGAGAGGACTACTCACGAGCCTTTTTCGTGGAAGGAACGCAAGCTTAAGTTCGAACTTGAGATATTGAGTAGACAGCATGTAAAATGCAACATATTTAATCTTTCTTCTAGGATTCATGTCGATAGCACTGGTGAACACACGTGTGGAAAAGGCTGTAACGAGTTTGAAAGAAGCCTCTAATGACATCTTTCAAAGATTCCCCGTCCCTCGGCCAACCCCTCGAGACATCCATTATTACAGTCCCCCCCCTTATGAGTCTGGTTGGTACGCAGTGATTGTAAGTATATCTTTTGTTATAAAAGGGCTCTTGTAGTCTAGAGGTGTGGTGTCCGCCTCTGATTCAATAGGTTCTGCGTTTGAAACCTGAAAATTACGGAACATTTTCTTCTCTAAAACTTTCTCCTTTCACCTCCTTTCCTGCTCTCTAATTATCTGTCACCTGCTTTCATCTGCACTTTTGCCCCCCCCCCCCCCCCCACCCCTTTCCAAAAGGCTCCTGACTCGTTCTACTGTTACCCCCGGCTGCTTGTAGATATTTTTTTTATATAGATTTATTTTCTCTGAGATTTGGCGAGTGAAGACTCCCTTCCTGTTCCTTTGTATGACATGAGACAGCGGAGCTTATGCAAGGCACGATTGAAAGATATAGAGCCAAGTTAAACCCAACATGGTGAGTATTTGAGCGTAAATGTCCCTCCTATAACAACTTATTACACAGAAATCCAAAACATTCTCCTTTGGTTAGGAAGTCTGCCAAGGTTACATTTCAATGGTTAGACAAATCATAACATGAGCTCTACCCAGTGAGTGGTCGTCAGGGTAATGATGTACAAAATTCCCTCCTGTTACCCGGGTTTTGGTAACAGGAGAGAATAAAAAAGTAACAGGAGAGAAAGGAATGTGCTCAATAGCTTAACTGACCACAGCTTGGGTTAGAATGTGAGGTAGTCCACGCTTAAAAGAGTAAATGAAAGTGTTAGTGTTTTTTCAACAGAACACCTGAATTGTAATTTCTATCTTTGAGTAACAGGGTGGAATTGAGAGTAACAGGAGAGATACAAGATAGCATGAAGGAGGGGTACGTGTCAAATAGCTAAACTTACCAAAGTTTGGGTTGAAAATGGGCCATTTAAGCACAAACAAAACAGAATAGTTATTATATGAAAGATGTGTCTGTACTTTTTCAACAAACCCCTGTATTGTGATTCTGTAATTTAGGTAACAGGATGAAATTGAGAGAAATAACGAGGGAACAACAGAGTAAAACGAAAGACAAAACCTTCCACTTTTCCTACATCGATGATAATAATAATGTGACCTACTTTTGTTCCACCAAAGTCTAACAACCTTCTATTTTGATAAATGGCATCCAAGAGTTCTAAGTAATCGTGATATTGCCTCAGCTCGGTCTAACGTTGTGTCCTTGAGAAAGACGCTTAACACGAATTTCCCATTTGGCTCCGTCATTTCGGAGAGGACGTTAACCCTTAAACTCGGAGGTCCCACCTCAGAAATAATCTTAAAAGAGCGTTAAACCTGTACCATTTAACCATTTTAACTATAGAGTTTTTAAAATGTAGGTCTAGATCTAGATCTTTTATTTAGTTGCAGATTTAGAAGGGCATTTCACGTTGCTGTAGAGACGTTTATGTAGACTGAAGTAAGAAATAAGAATCTTCTGCTTAGTTGACTTCAGCACTATGCCACTTATGCTAGATCTAGATTGATTGTATGAAGGCCAGGCCCTATTGATAGTTGATTTCTCAAAGAGGAATTTTTATTAATATTTGCTTTTTTTTCACCAGAGACAAAGCTGACTCCAGCTGAAAAAAGTAATAAATGAGAGACAGAGAGAGAGGCGAAAAGAGAACCCAGTGAAGACACTGCACGACATGCAGTATGAAAAGCAGAATTGCATCAAAGACAAAGACCAAAGGGAAAGGAAACCTGTCGTTTGTATGATTTCAAGAGACCATTGGGCAGCACGTATGGAATGGAGAAAAACGAAGAAAGACACAAATCTGAAGAGGAAATCAAACAGTGCCGATGACAAAACAACAGATGCCCCTTCCTCAACTGTGTATTTTTGTCTAGACTAAAATGTAGGTTTGCAATGCAAAACTGCAGAGAAAAAGAACATTAAAGTTGAAAATGAAAACCTTATCTGAGAGCAAGAAGGCAGTGAAAAGAATACAGAAATTTCCTTTTGCTTTCCTGGATGAATAGAAAGACCGATAAAAGAAAACAGAAGTATTCGAATGTAGGCTTCTTGAGAAATATTAAGAAAGTGCAAAATCCTGAATAAATTCTAATTTTGTAGAACTCACAACATAAAGAACAAAAGGAAAGTGAAGAAAAAAGTGCTTTCAACTCTGCAGATAGATAAAGTGCACATTTAGGATTTTTTTTTCCTTTGGCCTGACAACTCGAGAATTTTGAACGGTTTGAAAATATTGTTACCTTGAAAGAGAATTTATAAAACCCAAAATCGTTTGTTGAATGACATCGTAGGAAATCTGTACAGACAGTACCAGAGCAGTTCGAACATTAATTGTTTTACAAGCTTTTAGCGGCGGAAGCTATTTAATAATCAGATCAAAACACTTGCGCGTGCAATATTGGTGATAACACAGAGTTGACAGCTGACGCATCGTTTATGCATTGTGTTCCTCTGAAGGTTATTCCTGCTCAAGTGTGATCATTGAAACCCAGTCCCACTACTAAACATCACCATTGACGGGACACAACTTAAAGAAGTTGAGGAATTTAAATGGCTTGGGAGCATGCTTACACATGACGGAAGATTGGACATAGGAAAATTGAAATCAGGACCCAAAAGCTTTTTTAATGCAGAAACCTATAAATTGTCAGCACTACTCACCCATAAACACCTACCAATGGAAGTAAAAAGACAACGACTCATTCACAACATTATTCCAACACTGACTTACGATATAAAACATGAAGACGAAAGACTGATAAACGAAATTTGACAGGGAATAAACCGGTTATGGAACAAGAACATCAAAGAATGAAGTGGTTCGGTCATCTAATGAGAGTGTCACCAAATCAATCAGCTTCATGAGCTTGCAACTCTAATATGTCCGAATACAAGGGCAGGTGCAGACCACGCAAAACTTGGCTGGATAGCGTTATAGAGGTCCTCCAAAAGAATAACATTTCAACAGAAGCCACCTACACTGCCCTTGATTGAAAATTGTAGCCCACCCCCCCCCCATCCTTAGTAATTGACCGAAAATTGCACCCCCACCCACATGCATCTCTTCTCGACATCTAACGATGCAAGAGGAAGGATGAAGCAAAGTAAAAGGATCCATTCCAAGCATACTCTGAAGACATGAGACTCACTGCAACGTGGCAGAAATGGGTAGTGATGAAAGAAAATAGAAATCCCGAACGGCGAACAGAAGAAAATAAGAATCACTAAGAAGAGAACAGAAACTGGGAGGTTGATGCCATTGTGGGCTTTATTCCAGAAAACGTTTCGACAGTACAAATTATACGATTCTAATATTGACCATCAGCTTAAGGAAAGACATAGAGCAACCTTCAAGCCAATGCGGCTAACGTCGCTCAAAATTGTTTGAGTAAAATGGAAGAGGAAATACAAAGCACATACGTTGCAAAATCAACTGTTTACACTACACACTGGTAATTTTACTTAACTCTTACTTTATCTGATCTCTTATACTGAGAGGTGTGGAGGGGAGATTCAGTTCTCGGACATGGGCCAGGTGTGTTGCTTTTCGGATCGACATATTGCGCTTTGAAGGATGGCTTTGACCCCATCGATCCATCTTTATATTAGCCTTCCTTTTGCTCTGAAGCCATCGAACCGCATCTTGTAGACCGTTGAGGTGGGCAGTCGTGGTTGTGGCCCCATTCTCATTACGCGTCCAAAACATCCTCTCGATATATTTCGTTTCGACGCCCACTTATTGTTTGATGCCTTCGTTTTTTTGTACACTGGTAACTAGATTCTACACCCTGTAAATAACGTCTCGACAGAATATGTTACATGCCTTTAACATTCCCATCCATCCTTCAGTTATTCCATTAGATGATATCACAGTTTTGTTGTTAAAATCTGATAACAGCCTTTTACGTTCCCTCCTGCAACCGCCCCTCTTTACGTTCATGAAAAAAAACTTTGTTTTTAAAAAGTAAGCGTGGGATTAGCTTCACCCTACTGCTAAAAGGAATAGAAATTCATTTGATCACAATGTGTTTGATCTTAGAGTGAGAATCATAAACTGAAACTAACATTTTCTTTGATTTTTAAATTTGGCACTTTAATCCGAAATTATTTTGCGTGGATTCTAAAACTAAAGTGTTTTTTATCATTTGCCTGATATATAGACCTAGTTTCACCAACATATATTGCATTAACCCCCCCCCCCCCCCCAAACAATTCCAGTAACACAACTCTATGATTTCTGTTGGTAACAGGAGAGAACATTTTCCTAGGTAGCTTAACGCAAAAGTTGACGTTACACTCTAATTTGACGGAATTATGTTCAGAAATCTCACATTTATATCCATAGATGGTTGATTCATTTCATCAATATTATTTCGAAACTTTTAATAAAAATTCATTTTTCGAAAAAATGAGAATCTAAAATGTGACATAAAAAAAAAAAAGACTCATATATATAAGATGCTGGTAAATAAATATTAATTTGTCTGTACGTAGTTAATTACCGGACGTTCTGTCAAGTCTCTACAACCTTATGCAGTTGTGAGCATTGTAAACCACTTAACAAAACATTTTGTTGTAACGATTTTGTCTTCATATTTTTTTTCGTTCTTTGAAAGAAAGGAATGTTTAAGTGTGTGTGTGTTTTTGTGTGCGCGGGCGCGCGCGCGAGCGTGTGTGTGTGTGTGTGTGTGTGTGTGTGTGTGTGTGTGTGTGTGTGTGTGTGTGTTTCTCGTTTTGCAGGCTCTGCTCCTATCATAATGAGTTTTGTTTTGCTTAAATTCTTTTCCAAAGTTTGTCATTGCTGGTCTTCCGAGCATCGCTGCTGGGGTAGTACTTAACAAAACGAGTGTAAGTAAAAAGAGGCTGGTCCATTTTCTTTTGTTTCTGCTGCTTCTTTATTGTACACTGAGATGATTTATGATTACTAAAACAAAATGTATAATAGTTTTAGTGGTAATTTTTTTTTTCATTTCCAAGATAGAGAGTTTCAGACAATTGTCTCAATTAATACTTCTCGTATTACGTCAGCGGGGAATTAGAAAAATAAAATCACAAACTACATAATTTAAGTACTGCAGACTTGTTCCCTGTTTCAAACAAGGAAAATGCTTTCACATGACTTGATGAATATCCAAATTTTTAAAGGCAGTTCATAAGACATTTGCAAGGTCAATTCTTTTTTTCTTTTTTTCAGTGCATTGTTGACCGGTTTTGCCACATCTTCAATGTCACATGCACACTATTGTGTGGGATCTCAATGGGTACTTACATCATTGTTGTGATAGTGTTTTGGAGTTTATTGGACAGTTCTTCTACCTATGTATGCCACATAGACAAGTGAGTTTTTTGGTATCTTTATTTTATCATTCTTTTTTCCGTAGAGGCAGGAAAAACTGGCAGGGTGCATTTAATGTTTTCGGTGGCTTAATATGACTACGAGGGGAATACCAAAAGTTTTTTTTACCTGACCTTGAAGGAATAAAGGTAGAACGCTGAATTTTGGCACTAAGCTTAGTCATTCTCTGTGTATTCGCCCCCGACAGTTACACATTTTTGCCATTAGTGTATGACTTTGAAAAGACCTTGAAAATAGAGGACCTTCTCTCTGTCAGGAAACCAGCCCTGGAAACTGCATTTGAATTTTTTACTCCAAAATTTCACCTCAGCATAGGATGGGCAATCAGTTCGAAATGCAGCATGCATATTCGTAAAAATATCCTGCTGTTGCATGGCTTGCAAGAACAAAAACTTCATTAGTGCCTTGTGCTCAATTTTGTTCATTTGTTTGTTGAAACTGGATAACTACATACCCCCATTCACTCACAGTGTGCCGGAGGTAAAATCAATAATTGGAAATTCCCCAAAATTGACATGCATTCTAGGAAGATAATTGTTGGCTTTCACCACAAATTTCAGCCTTCTATCATGGTCAGATAAAAAAACCTTTGGTATGCCCCTCGTATAGTTGCACTGAAAAACAAAATTTACTGTGGGCTTAAAATTCCCAATAACGTTAATTGGTACACACCCATGTGTTCAGCTGTTTGCACATTGGTCCCGTATTAGTTATTGCCTATCTATATCTATATTTCCTATTCCACTACTGAAACATCCTAACATACCCATGACAACAAAACTCAAAATAATCAACACCATATTCATCCCAACACTCACCTATCAATGCCAAACATGGAACATAGGACATTAGAGCAAAGAATTACAAAATGTGAAATGCGATGCCTTAGAAAAGCAGTTAACAAGACCCGGCGAGACAAAATTAGAAACTGTGTAATCCGAGAAATGGTGGGCACAAATGATGTCATGCATCACATCCAACAC